AATGTTCAATAGAAAAGAAACAGTTTAAATATGTTCAACTTTCTAACTTAGTCTTTTTGCAAAATATTGTTATCGCACTTTTTAATTCTTAAAATAATATTCTTTTTTCTAGTTTAAATTGTTTCGATTTTTTACTTAAAAACCATTATTCATGAATTTAATGTTTGTTTGTGGTCTCGCACTAGTTTGCAGAATTTTAGTTCATTCTGAGAACTATCTTTCCTGCATGTTTATTATATAAAATTAGTACTTTCACTATCCTAAGCGATAAGAATAACATGATTGGAAAATGATTAAGGATTTAAACATGCTTAAAAGTAACGATACTAAGTCATATACCATCATTGAACTAATTACTGGTATGAATACTGTCTCAACGTTTGTTTTTTGATAGTATTCATCGAAACTGGATTAATCAAAGCAGATATTACATAGTCGGACTATTATAGTTGAAATGAAAATTTTGAAGTAACAAATCGGAACAATTTAAAGTAAAACGAAAAAGCATTATTTTGAGAATTAAAAAGTGTGATAATAATATTTCGCAAAAGGCTAAGTTAGAAAGTTGCACATATTTTAAACTAATATTTTCTATTGAATATTCGAAAACGATGGAACATGCTCTTATTGATAGAAATACATGGTTTTATAAAGAATCAAAAGCATAATCTTTTAGTGAGAAAGAATCAGTTTCAAAATGGTCAAAACTGGATGAGATATTGGAAAAATACTAACATTACCATTACTTCTGAGGTATCTGTTACATGTCAAAATCAGGATGTAGATATGGGTCTTCTCGACGAATGGTATAAAAAAGGTCGAAAGAAAAAACATCGAATGATAGTTACGTCGAAAAAATAAATGTCGAAAATTTGAATATGAAATAGATGTGAATGTGGAGTACGAATCAGAGTCATGTAGAATAATGTTTAAGTAGCGACTCATAGAGTAAGGTAATGTTAGCCTTGAGGAAGAAAAAACAGATTTTAGATCTAGACGGATGCTCATGGAGTAGAGCTCGTCGGGGCCAGTATTTTTCGAACCAGGACCCGAATCCGGATCTGATTGATTAAACTTTTTGGACCCAGATCCGACCCTAACCTAAATTCTGAACCGCACTCTTAATACTTTCAATGAATTTTTTTTTATCTAAATCTGATAGTCGCTCCGAAAATACGAAATTTGTTTTTTTCATTATTTATGTCGGTGACTAGCATACTCTATACGTTTCTTAGATAAGCTTGACAGTGATCTTGAAATAGTTGAGTCATAATCGGCTTTTACTCCTAAACTCAGCCTATCAGATTCAAAATCTTCGAACTCCGACCTGAATCCAGTCAACAGAAAATTTTTTGGGCCCGTACTCGACAGACTCTACCATGAAGCCATATGAATCTACTTGGCTCCATGTTGATCACAAAGATTCATTAGAATCTATTAGACTCCATGGACTCAGGATTGGTATTATTTAGTCTTGGTTGGACTGGCCGAACGTAGAAAGCATACAGTAAGAGTATAAAACTTTTAGACTAGAAAGAGGATAGAGTACGACAAAGCCTTACTCTGCAGGATCCTAGTATGAATATGGATGGGAATTTTCACTTGATTGACATTCACAATTTTTTCGACATTTTTACACATTCGATATTTTCATCGTTCAATATCTTTTTTATCTAATTTTTTTATTTCGATATTTTTCTTTTGGCGTTTTTTTGTTTGATGTTTTTTGTTTCGACATTTTTCGTTTCGGCCTTTGCTATGCATACCTTCTCGATATCAACCCACAGCCACATCCTGCGCACACCTTGATTGTGTCGACTCATGTTTTACGATTTTTGGCAACTCTCAAGTCGGGTGATCATTTTTTTTGTTGGTTTTCTATTTGACAGGATTATATTTCAATTATTCATACTGTTCTTGTATGTCACTTTTGAAGCTAACAAGGACAAAAAAGGCATGAGTATGATGCAAGTCAATATCAAGGAGAAAGAAAAAAGAAACGTCAGCGAAATAAGGCTTTTTTCGGTGCAAACAATCATTCAACAGGGGTGCGTGTCTATATAAAAACAATCGAAAGATAATCGTTGCTACAACAAGAAGAATAATGGGGAAGCTCAACGGAAAAGTCGCTCTCATTACAGGCGGTTCCGATGGTATTGGCTTCACTACTGCTCAACGATTCATCAGCGAAGGTGCAGAACATGTCTTCATCACCGGACGTCGCCAAAAAGTACTTGATGAAGCTGTTAGAAAGATCGGTAGCAAAAATGTGACTGCAGTGTAAGCTAGTGTCTCAAACATGGCTGATTTCAACAGATTGTACGACATTATTAAGAAAGACAATGGTCGTTTAGACATCGTTTTTGCCAACACCGGTAACAATCCGAATGCACCACTTGGAGCGATCACTGAAAAGCATTTTGATGATTTAATCAACAACAATGTGAAATCAGTATTGTTTACTGTTCAAAAAGCTTTGCCAATATTGGTTGATGGTGGATCAATTATCTTAACCGGATCTATCAGTTCTATGAAAGCTATTCCAACCGCGAGTGTCTACTGTGCTACAAAGGCAGCTGTTTGGTCTTTCGCCCGATGTTGGACGGTCGATTTGAAGAAGCGAAAAATCCGGGTAAATACAGTGAGTTCAAGACCAATCTAAACGTCAATGTTAACACGTGCAGGAAATAGTGAAGAAGAAAATATAGCGTTCATCACAGGTATGCTAGCTCGTTCATCAATGAATCGCTTAGGTACACCTGATGAAATTGCCAAAGCTGCAGTCTTTCTCGCTTCGGACGATAGCAGTTACATCACGGGTATTGAACTATGTGTTGATGGTGGCTTAGGACAAATCTGAGATATTTATTTTATTAACTCAGTTTGGAATATAACATTATTTCTTGTGACTATTAAGCATTCAGTATAAAGTTATTCAATGTAGAAAAGTCTATGCTTTGATGTGCTAATAGGAAAATACAATGATTGATAATTTTATTATATGTGGGTGTGGGTGTAGGTGTGTGGGTTAAAGAAAAACTGCACTCAAAACCAAACCCACACCCCACACCCACCTATACCCGCATTCACAGTCACCAATGATAATCTACCGGATATCGTTATTGCCAAAAGAGTCTCTAGTACTGTAAGTGTTCTTATTGGATATGGCAACAAAACTTTGCAATATAAATAACTTTTGAAACTGAATCTTCTCCGTTCTCGGTCGCCGTTGGTGGTTTCAATAGCGATAGGCGACCAAATATGGTTGTAGGCAATGGTAATGGTATGAGTATTGGCGTATATTTAACGATGTGTTAGTTTTCCAGGACACAGAGACAAATTAATCTGAAGAATATATTTAATCCATAGATCTCAGCCCGTGCTTCTTATACATTTACTTTGACCATAAATAGCAAAGAAATTTGAATGTGTGCTTTTTAATAAAAATTAATAATTCATAGTTCAATTATTAATGTGTTGCGTCGTTTTTAGGTAAATATTTAAAAGAGACTGAAACGGAATCAAATTCTTCAACTTAATACTGTTCTCTTCATTAGCTTTCAAACATGAGCAATAAATTTCAATTCAGTAGAAGGTTCATCGTTCTCTGTATCTTGTGCTTTTGCAAAATGTATCGATCTCTTTCTGTAAGAAGTCTACTAATTCAACTGTTGCTTGTATTTTCATTAAAAAAATATCGGTTTCTATTGATGTATTGTTTTTATGATTTCTTTTTCCACATACCCAGTAGAATTTTCTACTTTTGTATAGTATTTAGAGTCGCTGAAAAGGCTGTCAATGTTTTGCACTCTTTTAGTCAATACATGGATAGGGTTCTATTATTATTATTACGGGTATTTTTTGCATTGATTGCATGATCAGCAGTACAGTTATAATTGAATGTGGATTTGATGGTTTCTCGCTCTTCTAATATTGAGATTTTCCAGTTTGAAGTTTACAGAATTAATTCAACCGGTGATTACCGATTACTAAATGCAGTTCAGACAATGAAATTGAGATAGAATTCGATTGAAAATAGAAGTTAATTTACTTCTTTTTCTAATATGTGCGTCTTCCGCCGGAAAGAAGATAACTATATTCGCATTAAATATGAAGATTCAGCAATTACTACCTTCACCGATCAATAAGTAAAAATACTTCTATATAGAATGCCCAACTCCTAATGTATACTGTATCTCTGCTATGACACTTCCAAATCTTCATAAATCGATAGATTTAACATATAGACACGTGAAAATCTAAGTAGAATTCTATGCGGCATGTAGATATATTTTACTTATGCCATTGGAGGAATTATCTTTCTTTTCAGTATGAACCAAATCGAGATGGGTGTAGGTGTGAGTCTTCTATTCACTCGAACCACAACCCACATCCGCACCCACCCAAACGACGTCTTTCAGTCAATATTCGAGATCATGGAAGTTTGGGAGTTTTGTGATAAAATTATCATTTGATCAAACATGACAATATTACGAATTATTCTAATTTTTTCTTTGCCTTTCGTGTAATCAATGATTAATATTGTCTGTGTTACATATTCCATTTTATCTCTTTCAATGAAAAAGATGTAAGAAGAGTTTGAAATCGAATTGATAATATATATATATGGAATATTCATGAGTAAAACTACTTAAAAGGTAGAAAAAATGTTTTGGTGTTCTGTAACGTCGAAATATGACTTTTTATTGTACTTCCAAAGCTCACCCAATCTTAAGTGTAATAGAATAGAAATTACTTTAAGCAGTTATCAAATTTCTCCTATTACTTCTAATTCCTTCCATTTATATTTTCGAAAAAAAAGTATTCCTTTCCTTTTCTCCATCGAACTGCACCCTGCACCCTGCACTTTCTTTTTCCTTTTCTTCTATTGTTTGTTCTATGTCAATATTACTCACATTTTTCTCATCATTATCGAAAATATCTTTGCTCTATTACTATTCATTTCTCTTTCTCGACTTACCTTACTTAAGTCAAAAAAGATGGCCTATCTTATTTTCACACGTGCTGCTGTTTTGTGTATCTTACTATTATCATCTTACCAAGTTGGTGTTGCAATGATGGAGGAAAAATTTACTGATCCTTATGCGACCGTATATATTTATTCTGGTCGTCCGAATCCACGTTGGCAACTATCTCTTGAAGAATGGCAACAAGTAAATCAATTGATTCAAACATTACCGAATTCAGGTAAAGAAATAGAAGGTCCTTATCAATTTAGTGGTGGTTTGGGTTACACTGGCTTTTATGCACATTTCTCAATAGTTTCAAGTTATCCTGATATTTATTATGTGGCTGCTCATAAACAAGCAGTTTTATCGAATCCGGGTGGACATTTTATTTTTAATGACAAATGTAAACTTGTTGAACAATGGTTTATAGATAGTGCAAAAAGTCATGGCATTCAATTGCCATTACTAGACTAAAATCTACAGCCGTGTGTATTGGAATGCAAAGTATTATTCGACAGACAATTATTTCTGGAAAGGCATGATAACAATATGATGCCAATTTTGATTAAGAAGTTCAATAAATAGAAAAAAAAATTAATTGTCGATATGCTTCATATGATCGATCTTAATTCATCCACGTCTTGAAAAAATCTATTGATTAGATCGTAGAGAAATATGTAGTAAAACAAATAAAGATGAAGAATATATTTTCTTGTTTTTAAGTAGAAGTCTACGTAATAGATTCGTCTAAGATGGAAAACATTGCAAATGATTCTACTCTCTTGAGTTTACTGTGTGGTCATTAGTAGATTTATGTGAAAGTACGGCAATTATAAAGGAATATTGACTATGATAGATCGCTCAAAATTCCAAGTCCTTTTACAGAATTTTCCACACACACCAATAGGACGATATTTTCGAAAAAAATCGAATTCGAAGGTTTTAACTTAAAATTTTTTTTCTCTGTAGATATCCTTTTTGTATCTTATATTCAGTTCAATTGATTGTCGATTCAGCAGTAGATTAGATCAAAGAAGGCACGGTTATACTAGATTCTTATGCCAATATCTATTAGTAGTCCTTGTCATTTTTCTTTTAAGAAATATGATGTCGCTAATGCTGTGTACATTTTAAAGTATCTATTTAGAGATGGGCAAGTAAAACCATTTTCTTACTTACGTTTTTTCAGAAAATATGACTACAGAAGCCTCTAGTTTTGTCCATCTCTATACCTATTTTTGTCTAATAAAATCTTAATATGCTATAAAGAGAGAATCCATAACACCCATCATGAATTGATTGTTGAGTGATAAATTTGTATGCTATTAATAAAACTGAGAGTATTTTTTGGTTGAATCATCAAATCGTGTTTGTACTTGGGTGTGGGTGTGAGTTCGTAGCAGAGATGTCCATCGCGGCTCAAAATCTGCCGCTGCCGCGGCGCGATCAAAATCGAACAGAGCTGCCGCGACGCGATGGCCCGTTAAAAAAAAGCTACCGCGCCGCTGCCGCGATGGTATTCGAAAAAATGTTTTGATTTTCAAGGCTGTGACTGGTTTGAACTAGAACTGATGCCGCTAATCAATCAGATTCGTTAAGTCTTACAGTATAGCATACATGAACATGCAAATTCTGTGCAAATTCATGAATTTTTGAAATTTTTTCCTAAAAAAGCTGCCGCCGCTGCACCGCTGTCGCGGCGGCACATAAAAATCTCTCCCGCGCCGCGATGGTTTTTGGAAAAAATCTGCCGCTGCCGCGCCGCCACCACCACGGCGGCAGCGGCGCGATGGACATCTCTGGTGCCTAGGTATGAGTGTCAGTCTTAAGTTCACTCACACCCACACACTCAACCACACCTACACCCCCACCCACATCCATACCTCATCCCATCCCACACCCACGCTCCACCCCATCCCACATTCATACCTCATCCAAAAAGAAATATATTAATTAAAATATTCACATTGTAAATAATAAATTATTATAACTATTTTGTGAAACTATTCTATGATACAATTTAAACACCTCGTTTAAGAATAACACCAATATGTTATATGAGAAAAAATAATGTAGTTGATCGCGGTATCAATAGTATTTGATTAATCTTTATTGTATTTTTATTTTTTTATTTCTAATTATATAGTTTATACAATCTATTCTGAAAACTACAAAATAAATGTCTTTAACTAGGGAAAAGGAAAAGTGTCAGTTAAATAATGCTTTAAAAATATCGTCGAAATCCTGTTCTATATATTGGTCTGCCACGTCTAATATCGGTAAACACACCTGATGATGTAAAGGTTCTACGAATTACTCCGTCTGACCAGTTACAATCAAAATTATTTCCGCGTGCAATTGTATACATTGAAGATGTTGGCATCGGAGGAGACTACAATAAAAAGTTTATAGAATCTTTTCTGAAAGTCCTTTGTGTCAAAAAACAAATTACTATATCTTCTGTAACACCAAAATGACGAGCCTCTTGAAGAAGTGCTGCTGGACTTAAAAGTGTTGACCCATAACGGGCTACATAAGCATCAGGATTTTCTTGGGTAACACCAAGGTTTTCAAATCGTCGAATTATACGTGTTCGAACACCTTCATAAACGATAATGTTATGAAATGGCCGTGGATATTCTATAGGAGCAGGAGCAGATTCTACAATTGTACGGCGTTCAGGTGTAGGTCCATAGGGAATCCATCGCTCAATTATAATATCACCTAAATAGCATAAAAACAATAGACTGGAATTTTAAAAAAAACGATCAGCAAGAAAGGAGAATAAAGCTAAATTTTTTTTACGTGGTCTTTCCGGATGAGGCGGAAAACGTTCGATGATAACTGATCGTGGTGGAACAGGCACAGCAGATAATTCTTGAACAACTGTAAAATAAAATAAACATTAATTTATCTAATCTATTTCATATGAATCTCTTTTGCTTTTTACTTGTTTCACTGTGAATAACTGGTGGCGGTGTTGGTGGCCGTTCCCGTAAGGTAAGTGGAGGCGGCGTACAAGGACGTGGTGTATGTTCGCGTATGACAAGTGGTGGAGGTGGTGATGGTTGTCGTGGACGCACTTCTTTTATAATCAGTGGCTAAAATGATGTACAAAGATTGTTAAGATTGAATTTGCAAATAATTTGTTTCGTTACTCCTGGTTCTGGAACAGGTGGTGGTTGAAGATATCGAACAGTAATTCGTTGTTCCAGCGTTATTGGACTTTCACTTGTTGTTCGTCGAATCATTTGTGGACTAGAATCAATAAAAAGATCACTAGTTGATCTTCTAAGATATGCATTTGTTTCTTCTAGACTATTTGTATGAATGGCCGTATCATTAGTCCATTCACAACCTGTTGCTGTAGTTCCATATGAAGCATATCGATCAGTCGTACGTTCTGAACCATCGTAATAATGACCACCATAGTTGTATCGATTGCATCGACTAGTTGTTGATTCATATTCAGTTCTATTAATACTAAATATTTTTGTATATTTATTTATTATCTGATTTAAATTCTGAATTCATACTTTCCATCTTGATTTGTATCATTGTGTATAAATAGAGTGCCAGTTTCATTGCCAGCGTCCATTATTCGCAATCGACAAAGTAGAAATTATTTCTTAAAATAGAAGAAAACTAATGATCATTAATTCATAAATCTAAGATAAAAATATTAAATCCTTAATCAAGCATCAATTTCTAGTATCAGAAGTACTCTTATTGATATTCTTCTTAATTGGTTGGTAAAACGAGATAAGAAACATTAATAGAACAAAAAAAAAAGTGTATAAAATGTTATTTTTTAGTCGTTATTATAAATAGTTCTTGAAGGTCAAAAAACAACCATGAGAATATTATAAGAAGAAATAACAAGAAGAATAAGAGCGATTCAGACAAATTGCTGAAGGAAAACTAGTCGACTAGTGGTTCATTCCTTCTCTTATATTCAATATGCGGCTAACGCGTGCGGTTTATATTCTGTTTTACCGACAAAAAAATAAATATTTAAAAAAAATAGTTTGTTAGCAGAACGTGTTTGAAGCTGAAATATAGAATTCATGGACGTTTTTCTACTCCATTGCTGATAGTAGTTCATTATTTTTCTTTTTCTTAATTTAACTGAGGACGATGATTACGACCGCCGTTACCGCTAAAAAAAAATATGCATGCTATCGTTTCCCGCACTTTACGGACGTGCACTACTAGAAATTGAGTATTCTGTCGTTTATTCTCATTTACAACACGATAAACTACGGCCGTAATATTCTCACTGTCAGACGGTTGAAATATGATAAAAAAAAAATAGTCATGTACGACCTTGGTGGTTTTACTTGGGAATATTGTTGTTGTTATTATTATAAGCATGAAATCAAATAGTACATAAGACTGTCAAACATCAATTACCGACTCAAAATACTCACATTTCTATCGACATTATCTCCGATAGAATAGTTAGAGAGAGCGTTAGAACTCTACGACAATTCTTCATTGATATTACTTATAGATCCTTTTGCAAAATAAATTTAATAGCATATTGTTGTGTTTGGTATTACATCTGCATTATGTATTCTCTTCAAATTCTACAAGATAATAAATGAAGTACTTGCAGAATAACTGATGGTGAAAATCTTAGGAAAACATTAAGATTAAACGAAGTAGAAAGTGTAAAAGAGAGAGAAAGTCGTCGAAATTTTCTGATACGAGTAATGATAGGTTCATTGGAAATGCAAATACTTTTACCTTTGTAAATCGAGAAAAGTTATATTTAAATCAATCATCTAATCATAATGAGGATTTATGCGAAATGTAGCCATCATAAAACTTCTCACTACAAGATACAAGCGGCAGAAGTGGTATCTGACTTTTGTTTGTATCTATTAAAATTGAAAATAACTAAGTCTGCATAAATATTGTCATCATCACAAGATATTCAAAAAGAAAAGAAACATCAGCTCGGCAGTGTCACCATGATATATATGAGTCCGATACAATATTTTGCAAAAAATCATTCATCATTTTTTCTTCTCATGTTTTTCTGCTATAAGATTACATTCGATAGCCGTTAATAATTCTAGGTAATAGTATATGTAGTTGTCTATTAGGAATATATGATAGAGATCTGAAATGTTGTTCTATTAAATTGATTAATGGCTTTGCTTTTTAATGATGTGAGAAATGAGTGCACCAAAAATCATTATAATATGAGGAGCTGACAAACTGGTTGAATGTCGAAATCAATCATCAATTATTAAACGGCGACAACTGAAGCTTTCCGATAATGGTCTAAAAGATATTTTACCTGTTAGGCAAAGAAAGGAAAACATATATGACTATGATAAAGAAAAAATCATACGTTGGACAAAAAAACAACAAGATCAGCGCCACAATCAATTGAAATTTACAACATAGATGAACGTAAAAACATCGATGAAATTTATAAAATGCAGACATCGAAAGAGTATAAAATACTCAATGTTTTGGTATTAGAACGTCTCGCACACTTGTTATTTGAATAAAGAAAAAAACCTTTTGAGTATTTTAGAAAATATTGTAATCTTCGTTGTCAGTAATCGTTTCGCTGATGTTGTTACTATTGTCCAATATATAATTTTTCCTTTATCATGTTCATATATGTTTTCCTTTCTTTGTCTAACAGGTAACGTATCTTTTAGACCATTATCGGAAAGCTTCAGTTGTCACCGTTTAATAATTGATGATTGATTTCGACTTCCAAGTAGCTTGTCAGCTCCTCATATTATAATGAGTTTTGGTACACTCATTTTTCACATCATCAAAAGTGAAGTCATTAATCAATTTAATAGAACGACATTTCAAATCTCTATCATATGTTCCTAACAGACAACTAAATATACTATTACCTAAAACTATTAACGGCTATCGAATGTAATCTTATAGCAGAAAAACATGAGAAGACAAAGTAATGAATTATTTTTTGCAAAATATTGTATTGACACTTGTACTGCACGTTTTAACCAGCTATTTTGTGGTTTTTGTATTAGAGATCATTTCGCAAGAAAATGATAAGTTTCAATACGTTCGTCAAGTAAGTGAAAACAGAAAAGGATTAAGAAAATTTGAGAAACAACACATAAGCTCTGTACTTCTCACCACATTAAAACATATATCGAAGCTAACTCTTTTGTTTATTTCTATCTGTTATTTATATTGTTTCTCTCTCAACAAGAGAATCAAAACAATACTTACAGAACGACTGCTAACCATGCCGCTGATTATGAAATATTCAGATATATTTTTTTCGGCAGAAAATCTACATCCTACTAAAGAAACTTATCGAAATGTGCGTGGAGATCATATATAACTAACATATAACTGAAATGTCTACATACAGTATTTCATTATTGAAGTTTGATGCTGACAGATGAGGAATGACAATGAAATACATTATGTTGGCTTTCGATGGAAAAAACAAGAGATTGGCTTTATATACGTGACACAGGTAGTGAGAAACAGAGAAAAATTACATAGTATTTTTTACCAGAGAAATAGTACTTATAAGTAAAAATTTTAAATACTTTTCATATTTACTCACTAAAAAGTACTTTTAAGTAATATTATAAGTATGAAAAAGTACTAAAATTCGTTCGAAACGCGAAAAATAGCAATAGATAGTTTTAATTATTTTCTTATATTAATAGGAAAATTACTAAAAACTGTTCTTTTATGACTTTTTTTACAGATGAAAAAAATGATGTTTACTATTTTTATGTCTCCGAATGAATTTTAGTACTTTTCAAACTTCCATTATTGCTTAAAAATACTTCTTAATACTTTTCGCATATTTTTCATACGTCTCGAAGCGATAAAAAAAAATAATTTTAGACAAAACGTATGAAAAGTACTCTAAAAGCTCGCTTATAAGTACTGTTTCTTGCCGTGAAAACTATTGAAAATACTTAAAAATGCTTTTTATATTTGCTTCACATGAATACTTTTAGTCTGTTCTTGGAAAGCAGAAAACACAATCGATAAAATTTTTTGGAAAGTATAACAATGAATGTATTATACTTTATAAATGATGAAAATACTATTGAATGAGTTTTAGCATATGAAAATATTTATAATTACTATTTAAAAGCTTAAAAATCCAAGCAATTCATTTTTACAGTATACAATCAGTTCATTATACTTTGAAAGTATACAAAGTATTGAAATTCTTCTACAAATAACTTAAATACTTTTAATATTTGGCAAGTATTTTAAAGTACGGCCAAATATTTAAGAAAATTTCAAAATCAATATATTATACTTGCCGTCGAGGAAAACTACTACTAAATACTTTACAAAGTATCAAAAGTAACTCTGAGTACTTCTTGGAAAATTATAAGTACTAAAAAGTAGTTTATAAATTTTTTAACTTCATATGATACATTTGATGATTGAATAAAGTACTATTTAGTATTTTTCGAAAGATCAAAATTACTAAAAAATTACTTCTTCGTATGCTTGAAGTACCAAAAAGGGATTCAAAAAGTGAAATAATTAATATTATTTACTACATAGACACGAAAAGTACTTAATAGTACTGTACAAAAGATCCAAAGTGTTTCTAATTACTTTTCCAAAACTCAAAAATATTAAAAAGTACTTTATAAAATGCGCAAATTAATAGTTTTTACTTTACTGGAAAAATAGTACTTAAAGGTACTTATGAAAGTTAAAAAATAGCGAGAAAAAGTTACTTTTTTTTACTTTATTAATAATAAAAGTACTAATTAGTGGATTTTTTTCACTTTTACTGTTACATGGGCAGTTCGCTTACAAAACTTAGAAAAGTTATCCATTGAATAGAAAGGTCTATGAAGAAATTGTGAAATCCTCTATGGATACTGTCTAAATTTTAAAGCATTCTGTATGAGAAGTACAATACTATTTTGATTGTACTAAACCTATATATTTGTTTGACGCAAAATTCTTTGAGACACACTATGTAAAACTCTTTGACATTATATTGAAAATTCATAATTTAGAGTTTGTGATTTATACACTCTTGATTTCTCGAGCAGCCATACTCATAAGTTTTTTTTCTGGTCGTTTAGCAGAGTACTAGGAATTCAAAAGATAATTCATCAAAAATCGTGATCTACTTATCTTTAATCTTTAGTTTTAGTAGAAAGTTTTTTTTTCTAGCTTGTAATACTCAATAGCATAAATCTGTACTAGCAAAATATGTTTCGATTTAGTCTGTAATAAGACTTCCGTAAATTGTATTATACAGTACTGATGAATCATCAATTTTTAAACAAAATATGCAGACAAATGATCATGTTTGAGAAATTTGTTTTCTTCAGGGATTAGCTAATGATTCTCCAACGAATACACCTTGAAAGACTTGTAGAATACTTTTCCAATAAGACTCAATGAGAATTTGACCTTTGGTGTATTGTTGTACCATAAATTATGGATTATAGAATTTCTGAGTCCAGACACGTGGTTCATTGACCGTGCCAAATGATTCAGTAACATCATCAGCAATGAATTCTACGATAGATGTTTGAGATAAGTCCGTGAGCATTCAACCGTATGATGTCAAATGACCTGCCATAGCACCTGGTGGATATTTGTTTGTTGAAAAAGAGGTTTTACAGTAATGAAGCAATACTCATCAAATATTTAAAACTCATTTGAGAAGACATTACTTTATGGGAATGAAAAATTGTTCTAATACTAACTCGAATTAGATTTCCAGTGCAGTTAAATATTTTCGTATATATAGATGTTATCAAACAAGCATATATGCTAAAGTTACTTGTATTTTTGTAGTAAGGGATCGCATTTATTCAAAGAATGTGAAAAGAATAATTGTCTTTCACTTTATAAAGAAATACAAGTTTATCTAAAAGGTGTAGCAAATGAACATAAAAGATTATATAGATTATAATGTTATATCTATTATAACACATAGCAAGCAATCTAATCTAGCTCACGCTGAATGAAAAAATAAAGAGAAAGAATCGTCATTCTCAGTTGATTACACAATATCATAATGATACAGCAAACAGCATCAAATCTTACCGAACTTTTCTTCAGTTTCGATTGAAAGAATATTCTTCTATTTCAAATTTTTCCGTCGACTTATTCAATTCGAGGTATCTTGATTCTTGGCTTTAGCAGATTCTGTACTTCAACACGATAAATCTCCAGTTTCTCTTTGATTGTATTCCAAGGTTGAAAAACTGACGTAATCATAATAAATTCAATTGATTCTAAAATCATAAGAGGTGCAAATTAATCTCATAAAAGTGGATTACTCATTTTATTAATCAGTGCATTTTTAACCATATTCGGAAATAGTCAAAATCATGCTTTCCTCTTCTATCTCATTAAATAATATTACTCACGATCTATAACGTCTTTCGAAGTATCCATCACTATTGATTATCTGCTACGATTGTCAAGTCATCTGGAACGATGGATGATGTAGGATGCCAATCATTTTTTTTTCATCTCGCTTCAATACACTAACTTCCAATTAAATACGTATTAAATATTCTCATGAAGAAAATTTATGATTAATGATTTTGTTTATTGCTCTGAAGATATAAAAAGCATAGAGAGACGTAGTAAAAAAAAAACATTAAACCTTCAATTCGGATAAAAAGTTAACGCATCATTTTAACATTGTTTGTTTGCTTCTTCACTAAACAGCAGTACGTTGAAAAATTAACATTTAATATTTAATTTCAGAATGATATCGAACCTATTGTTTTTCACATATCTAGATGATTTCATCGATGCAACAAATTCTTGCTACTTTTCTAATCATAGCCATTGGGACTACTTATTGTGCTACGTGTAATGTTGCTATCACCCGTGCTAAATACAACTTAATCCAAATCGGTTGGATAAGAGATCAAGTGAAAAATGCAGTTAGTTCGCCAGGGAATCCAATTTCGGAATCACCAACGACGGCGATCGTTCAATACATTGGTTCCACGATTGGCTCGATAGCGACTATTACCTTTATGAATGAGCTTGTGTTCACAAAAGCTCAAGTTAATCTTTGCTAAATGCAATGACATAAGCGCATCATTTATAACTTATTATGTAACCAAGATATTCTTTTATTTTCAATAAAAATTTTCTCATCTAATTGACTGGAGTGTGAGCACCGGTCTTTTTCTTGCATACACTCGCACCCACACCCCACCCTATCCAAATGTGTATAAAAGACACTGTAATAGCTCTCGTTAGATACACTTTGTTTACATGATGAACAGACTACTCGAATCTGTCGATATAGAAATCTAAACAAAAAGAAAGCTATTATGATAAAATCTTCTTGGAAATTTCCATGTTTGTTTTTCGTGTTATTTCAGATAAATAACACAAATGAATAAAAAACAAAAGCTATTGTGTTTTGTTTCTGTTCCTAGGTATTTTTGTTTCTTCCTACTCTATTGATCATTCTTCCTATGATGACACTTTTACATAATTTACCTTACCTAATTTACAATTATTTTTAATCTGTTTTGACATATTTCACTCTACTCAATATAATTTATTCTTATCAAAATATCCATATCGTCATCATGATTAATGTCATTTGGAAAATTGGAAAACAATTCAGTTGAGAAGATGTCATATAAATAAATTTGAAAAGTTATTTTTCGATTAACGACCGATAGAATCTTTCGTTGAAGTTAACTTCATGTTTTCAATTTACTTTCTTTGGTTGATATATTCATCGATAATTCTAGACTCTCTAATAGGTAGTATCTATATAAAGAGTAAATTTGATGTTTTATTATTTCGTCCCGTTGTTTCATACACATTAATGTCCTAAATGAAATACAAACAACATCTTTATGTTACAGTACGATGATTAGGATATAATATGCTCTAATGCTCGTTGTCTAAAAAAAAGCATTTTCGGGTATCTACGGCAGGTATTCTTTTGGGAAGGTTTCCGAAGTTCGCTACGGATCTGAGGGATTTCTAATATAGTTCTAAGCTCTAATCTCAGTTTCTATAGCTTCTTGATTAAACTAAAAAGTCGATTTGTACTTATGAAATAAATATTCCATATTCTGCATAGAGTCGATCAACTTTGCAAATTGTCAAGTATTGTTCTTTTTATATGTTTTTCAAATTTAGTATAGTTTACTATGCGGGTATTGCATCGTGATGACAGTGGAATAAAAAGGAAAAAATTTTGAAGGAAAATCAGCAATAACATCGAACTAGTATATTCTAACCAATCAGATGTTTTTATTTCTTAGACGACTAAGTTGTGCAGCTGAATTTGCATAGAGAAGAAAAGTTTTTTTCTAAATAAAATCTAACGATCATGGGAAAGACTGATGCAACCATGTCTACTTATGTCTCTTATATTCTATAATTCATATAAGAGATTTTTTTTTAGTAATGTAAGTCAAAGTGGTTAAATAGATAGTCGAGAAGTTGACATATTCATAGTTCAAGTCATAAGACGAGATGCTTTTTGATTCAACCTTTAACGAAATACAGTATACTTTAACTATTAGTCAAATATATTATTCTACTTATGTTCAAGTTCGAATGAGTCATCATCTACCTTTACACTTTTTCACATAGTATGAATCGATTGTTGATGACAGACTGTTGATATGAAGATTTTCGTAGTGGGAATTTTTTCGTGATTACAATTTATTATACTAATTTGATGAGATATGCTGCTCCTTAGATCCATAATCATTAATAAAGATAAATTACTGCCGTTTAATATACAAAGATACTAAATGGAAAAAGAAGAAAAAGAAAAAAAGAACACATGTGTACAGGTATATAACAAAAGAAAGGAGATACAAACTAAATTGTACTTGCATCAAGTCATTTCATTTATACCGATATAATAAATGATTATAAACAGGTATATCAAAAACTGTACGAAAGACATCTTAATAAATTAGTGCATTATTCTTACGATAAATAGATGACAATACTCGAGACTCCTGTTATCGTCTACGTCATTTTCGCATTTCTCTACCGAATCTATTACACTTATATATCTCCCTAGCTAAAATAAACGACAAACCTAATATTTTCGATTATTTTTTCCCACCATCGTTGTTTGATCTCATATTTATATGATAGATATATCCCTATGGCCAAAATAAGATGTACAACTTATTTTGGCCACAGGGATATATTTAATTACTCAAATTATCTTGAAAGTTTAGCCCTATAGAATGAGAATTTGTTGAGAAAATCACATATATATCTTATGTGCTCATGTATTACTGAAACGAAAATTTCCTGTTCTGCATAGCTCTCTAGTACTTTATATTTCGTTTGGTATCTCAGATAATAACTAGTTGCCCTTTAAGCATCGGGTGCAAAGGGCAATATCTAGAGATATTTTTCTCTGCAGCCCATGTTTAAAAGGCAACTAATCATTACTTGTGATTCCAAATGAACTATAAAGTAACAGAGAAATATGCAGAACAGAAAGTTATTGTTTCAGTGACACATGATCACATAAAGACATATATGTGATTTTCTCAACAAATTTGCAAGACGAGTTGAATGATTGAACATGTATCTGTCATATAAATATGAGATTGAACGACAATGTCAAGAAAAAATAATCGAAAAGATTAGGTTTATCGTTCATTTTTGACCAGAGGATATGTAACTGTTCAATCGAAAAGAAGATGAACACGCAAAAAATGGATAAAAATAAGGGGATAACGAATCTAAATTACGAAAGAACAGAATACAAACAATGACATAACATGTTACCTATATACGTCATGTTCGTGTTGCGAAAGATGAGATTCTCATTATAATCTACATTTTGATTGGTGGCAAAGACAAACAGACAGGTAAAAATACATATTTTTTATCGTAATATCGATCTTTTCAGAAAGAAGAAAAAAAATCTTTTTTACCTATTCGTATTAACAGAGATTTGATTTTTATAACTGATTTAGAATGAAAGTTTCTTAGTCTTTTTATCGTTTCGTGTTGTTTATAACCTAAGTTATAGTTTGACTTAAATCATTTGTTTTTAAATAAGATTTTCGAATTTGTTTGAAATATTTTGATAATATAGTTTGTATAGTGAATCTTGTTTATTTTATACTTTATTTAATATGAAAAATGTTTTAGAAAATCTTATTAAAAAGTTTAGAAATAATTCTAGATTACACAACCAATCGAATATTTAAGCATAAACTAATTCTGCTTTATAAAACACTATACTAAATCGCCATTAAAATGTTGACAGCACTTTTCGGTCCGGTCAAAGCTATGGTCCAAGTAATCTGTGATGATACAGAAGGGGCTATAACAACCATGGATCAATTTACCAGAACAAATCCGTTCATATTTCCTATTCGAGTCACTGCTGATCTTATAGTGGATGGAAAAGACGAAGCCTACGAAACGTGCAAAGCCTTCGGTGGAGCTTTGGATAATATGGCCAACTCGACTCCTGTCTTAGGTCACGTCAAAGGTGCTATAACAGCCATTGCTGGTGATGAAAGAAAAGGAGAAGAAATAATGAAACAAGCCACTCGAAGTACTTTGGTCGTTGGTGCAGGCGTGGGTGGATTTATTGGCGGTGGTCCAGTTGGAGCGTTTGTTTTTAGTGCTGAAGTTGGAACTCTTTGGGATGTGACACGTGCTGCTACGGGTGGACCAGCAAATGGAGTAGCGAAACTCGTCGTAGCTATGAGAGATGATGAAGATCTTTCTCCTGGTGAAATTTTCGACTGTGTGGCTACACCAGTCGTTGATGGAGTCGCTGGTGTGGCTGCCGGTAAAATGGCTGATAGTCTCTATAAGAATAATAAAAAAAATCAAGAGCGAGCATCTGTTCAACAAAAAAATGCGATCAAACAGAAACAGATCAATAAGTTAGAGGAAAAAATTGCAAAACAAGGTGTGAACAATCCAGAAACAACGGTTAAAAATATGTGTCAAGATGCTGAAGAGTTGAAGGGAAAAGTTGACCAAGTCAATACTAAAACATCTTCTAACCGAAGACTCAATGGTCATACAGCATGTTCAATGATCGACGAAGAGGGAAACAAATCGACTGGCTATAGTACTAGACTATGCAATGAATTGAAAATGGATCGTTTCGCCCAACAGACATCAAGATTATGTCAGGAACATCCCAATATCTCACCAGTCCTAAATCGAGCTTTGGAATGTTGCGCTGAACACATGGCTTATGAAAATTTACCTAATGGCAATCCTATTCTTACTTATGCAGTTCAAATTCATAATGGTATCGTTACGTGTGTTGAAAGATGTCAGAATTGTATGCAGTTTCCATTAGGTAATGTCATTACCGATGCTATTCATCGTGAATGGATTCCATCCGCTCTGGAATTTGTTCCTGCTGCTGGATCTTATGTGGGATCGACTATCAATGGTATCATTTACATCACATTACAGAATGGAGGAAGACCGATGTATCGAAAATCTTTTCAATAATTCGTTCAAACAAAATATTTTTTTTTAACATTTATTTTTATTGTCCCTATATGCCAAGATTGACAATATAGGATGAATAAAACAAACCAAAAAAAAGAAGAAAATAAACGAATACGAACAATAAGAACATGATAGCATGCAGTTATGAAAAGAAAAGACAGTAGTGTCAAACTTGAAAGTTGAATTCAAGTATTCAATTACCAGTTCAACTATTCAAGTATTCAAATTTTCAATTAGTCGAAGCTTGAAATTCTACCAGAATCTCCTAACGTCGACAAATATTGTCCGAAATGCTATTAGCATCACCTGGCATGCTATAGAGTTCTCTAGAATGCTGTCAGTATTACGTAAAATGTTACAAGCATCACCTAGAATAGTACAGGCATCACCTATGATGTTACAAGCATTCCATATGATGTTACAAACTTGCCATGGGATGCTACAAACATCTCTAGCATGCTACAGATTTTGGTTGAGATGCCTCAGACATTACCTGGGATGTTACAGAAATTATTGAGAAGCTTGAACTACTGAGCAGCACTGAGTAGGAATAATGATGTACACAGAGACGTGCATGGATTGCGGCTCTTCGGGAACGCTTCGCGGCCTCACGCCGTGACGCTGAAATAAAAGGTGTGTTAAACGGAAAAAAGCGATTCCCCACTGAATATCCGTACAACACTTGAGAAGTTAAAATTTCAATAGTTGAATAATTGAATTCAAGTTTCAAGTATTACACATACGATATTTTGTGCTCGTGCCACGATGGGCAGAAAATTCGGATAACTTGGATTGGTTATCTGGCTAGCTTCAACGACGTTCTTACTATTCTACATAAAACAAAAGAACATAAATGATTTGCTGATTGTTTCAGATCTTGGTAATACAAAAAAATTATTCGTTTGGTAATTTCTTCGAATTTTAAATCAAAAAATACGGATATATTTTTTGTTTCTGAATATTGACAACTCGTTTAAAGAAAACAGTTCGTTTGTTTAAACTAAAGATTCTGATTAGAAAAAAACACGGTCTACAACAAAATGACATTTTGACTCTTTGAAGATAAATCATCAAGAGCTTTATGATTTTCTTCTTCTTCAACAAAATTTGATAAATGACATCTATCAACTGACAAAAATCAGTTCGACTAGGGGTGTGAAATATTTCGCACTTAGTGCACATATTTTCCATGTAACAATTCAATCCTGACTGATGAAATTCCTTCATCAAATCGAATGAATATTAAAACGAATATTCTCTCCGATGATCAACGCCATCTATACTGGTTCAAATTAGAAAAAAGTTGAATTTAAACCATTTGCAATGAGAAAAAAAATCATTAACAAATATAATTAAATTCAAATTCTAAATTATTTAAATTAATTTCTAAAACAAGAATCGATCAAAAAAAACCAAGATTTTTTTTTTATATTTTTAATTCCTAGTCAAAATAAAATATTTAGTCATATTTATTTTTCATGTTATCACAACTTCAACATTTAGCTCAAAAAGGTTTACAAACTGGTTTCTTAAAATCTCTTCCATCAACTTCAATAAATAATGATAAATTTCCATTAATTTTTCATTATGGACCATTCGCTTCCAATCTTTTCTTTTATTTTCGTCATGAATGGATTCAATCGTTTATACGAAATAATTGTGGTCGTTATAATTTTCTTTGGGTTGATTCAATCGATCAGATAAATCCAACATCGAATATGACAATTGGTTGGCAAACAAAAATTTCTAATAATAATTCACAACCACCATTAATACTTAAACGTGAAAATCAGTCAGATAATGATGATGATTATCTTTGTATAAATTATATTAAACCTCATGAGGATATTAATTTAACACATTTAGCAAATGAACGAACATCTTTTTGGAAAAAATATTTTTCAAAACGTGAAAAACTTGAATGTATATCATCAAAACAAAATCAATTTAATATAAATTATCGTCTTTCATCTGATATTGAACCATATCATTTAGAAACAATACAATCAAATAATAATAATAATAATAATAATTCATCATTAAATTTATTATTAAATATAAATCATACATTAATAACATTATTAATTGATTCACAAATGAAATTATTACATCCATTATTAACAGCATATCAAATTGGAATAAAATCAACATTAAAAACAACAGAACTTTGTTTTTATTTATCAAAATTATTAACATATAAATATCATTTACGTGTATTACATTTAATTAATAATGATGATAATAATAATGATTTTATACCATTTCATATATTACTTAATGATGATACATTAAAAAATGGTCTTTGTTATGTATGGAATCGTGATACACAATTAAATGAACAAATACATGTAAAACAAGTTGCAAAACGTTTAGCTGATTATTTTAAAGCACTTGAAGATTTTGTATAAATCATAGATTTTTGTTTTGATTAAAAAGAAAAAAAGTTATATTGATTTATTTTATATTTATGGAAATTAGATACGTGAATGGCTTTATTTTGATCGAAGAATACTAATAGATGTTGTAAATGCTTTGCATTAAGTTTGTTTTCAGTTTAGTATGATAAGAATTTCTCGTGAAGATTTGATAGTTTTCTAATTAGAAAGAACAAATTCAAAATATACTCCATTCAAAATACTTATTGAAGATGGAAAAATTCTCTACACACACTTCTACGATAGAGTATTGTAAACAGAAAAAAAAATTATATTTTCAAATTATCAGTTGAGTTCGAAACTAACATTTTTCTAACACCTATTGCTAGTCAAGTCAAGAAATATGGGTAGGTTCCACCAGGAAAACACCAAAAATTGGAAGGAGTGTTCCAAACTAAAAAGTCTTCGAATTTTTTTGGTGGCTTCTAGTCAACTTCCTGTTTCTTCCGCTGGAAAAAGACTGTAAATTATTGAAAAAATCCGAAGACTTTTCAATTCGGAATACTGCTTCCATGTTCCATCGATTTCCGGTGTTTTCAAGCTGGTTCCAGTGATATCAAATTGTTTCCATCCACTTGGTCAGATTTTCTTTTAGACATTATGAGAAAAACTTGATTATGATCAAGATCAAGTTTTTAACAAAAATTTGTTTCCTATGAAATCTGTGCTTTTGTAACTCAAATATTTTGATACTTCTTGAAAGCATGAGTCGTATTGGTTACATTCACACATAACGTGTGTATAAGTTTTAAAAATCGACTGCAAGATAATTCGATCAAGTGTGGTTTTCATTATTGATTTTGTGCGAAATTGCAAGACGTTTTTTCAGCCAAACGTGTTCTTAAAACTTTTTAGTCTTCGGTAAATATTTAAAACGAAATATTTTTACACAACTTTGAAATACAAATTTTCCTCTTTCTAATAAGAAAACGATCGAATCGTCACGATGAGCTGTTGTCATGCTGTACTGGAAGCAAAATTGTTGTAGAACTTTTGTACCATCCATTATATTGCTCAGTGGATAGGGTAAGTACGAATTTTCTCGAGTATGAGTACTATGAAAAATACGTTCGATATTATCAAAGTCTAAATATTGAATATATATTAATGCTATTTTTACAGAAGATTGAATAAAAGACGATGCTTACTTGACTTAAATATTTTGAAGAGCATCGATTGTTTCATAGTTTATATTATTGTATTTCGATTTAATTCTTTCTATTGTCATCAAGATTAAAATTCGACAATTAGTATAAACTAATGAAGAAGTTGTTTTATAAAATCAATGACATAACAGACCGTGGAGAGGGCTACAAACTTTAATGTATGGACGTATGTTGATAGGTTATTTGAAATAAGGTTTGATCTACTCAGACTGATGTTAAATCTATTATGTAATTATCAGATCATTTCTGATTCATTCTTATATTTGATGAACAATCTTGATTAGTATTTTGTTCGACATTCAAATAATTAAATAGGGGAATATAGTGTTCGTGTAGAATGATGTTTCGAAACAACTTACTGACGAATTATCTCAAGAGGAAAATTTTTGAGTGAAGTAACAATCAATAACAAGAAGGATTAATAAAATGAAATTGTCAATAAATTAAAATAATATATCATCTATTTTAAGCACTAGATAAATTTTATTACTATAATTTAAAGTGATATATGATCGACGTTTTCAAAAGTAGAAACAATAAATTGGTCATCATAAGTTTATTTTTAATGTTTTTATATCATCATAAATATGAACATAATTTTCGAAAATTTTGATTGAACAATACCAGTAGTGTCAAATATGAAAACTAGACATATTTTCATACAAATATACTAATTAAAATTTCAATTTTGCAAGAAATCACGAGTTTCTAAGAAATTCAAATGAAACAACATTGAGAAAAATTCCATGAAAATTTAATTCAGAGCCTTAAGAAATAAGCGCAGATAATAAAGTGTATATTTTTTTGGATTGGAACAGGAAATTCATCGTATTACTGTTAGTCATCTACAAATACTTCAATTAAGTAATTTGAATATGAAAGTCTAGATGTGGATGACGCTCTTGTCTTCATCCACACACTCAACTACATTCACGCTCCATTGTACAGCAACACAAGAATGTACAATCACACCCTACATACTGATTATAATGAAATGTAATTATTTGGAAAAGTTTTTTATCGTTTTCGCAATGGTTGCTTCAAGAAGAAGACGTTTGATTGAGCAATCAAAATAGTCTCAAGAAAAATACGTGATTTGAACATTCCATAATATTCGACTTGATACACGATATATATATATATATGCTGACTGTAATGTACTTCTATGCATTGTTGATTACTTCCGTAAAAAAAAACCGTCATATTTAAACATTTCTTATAGAAATTTCGATTATCACAAAATAAAAGCCGAGAGTCAAAGGATTAAGTACTTAAGAGAAATCTTCTGTCGTGTACAGTGTATCGTTCTTACAATATATGTTTGTTATTTTGATAAAATAATCATATCTTATTTTCTATTATTCGAACGTTTTATTTCTTAGCATTGTTATAACATTTCTGTTGAAATCATAAGTTATTACAATTATTTGTCTTATTTTATCAATGCTTAGAATTATTTGCATCAGGCAATCCTAATGCATTTATTCCATTTAAAATCAAAGCATGGAAACGTTTTTTTTTTTGGTCGTCGTAGCAGTTAAATTGTTTTTATGCGAAAGAAAATGAATAATTTCTTCAGAAAAAAAAGCATGCGGAATGTTTCCTTGAGTGTCTGCTATTTCAATCTGTGTCAATAAGGCGTTTGTTTGCATTTATACAGGTAGTGTGTGTTGCTATGAATGTTTGAAAAAAAAATTGCGTGATTTTAAGCAAGCAAACAAGTTAGACTACGAGCAATTTTTCGCTATTTGTCTTATGCTTTCTTTGGCAATTATTAAAAATTAAAAGTTTTCTTTTTTTATTCGCTGAAAATTCTATTATTACAAAAAAAAAAAGAAAAAAAAACATTTATGAAATGTAACAATTTTATTTATGTGCTATTCATTATTTGACATAACATTATTTTCTATACTAGAAGAAAACAATGGATACTGATCTAGCTTTTTGTCTTGGTCAATTTATTGATGATCAAGTTAAATTAATTGATGATCGTTTAGAAGCAATTAAACAAGAAGAAATAATTGCATGTGATCAAATTGAACAAGAAAGAAATCTTTATAATAAAAATAAACCTATTCTAAAGAATAAAGGCACACATTATGAAGATAAAGCATGGATTGATAAATTTATTCAAGATCTTCGTGATGATGATGCTAATGTTAGTAAACCAAAATCAATAATCGATGATCCAAATTGTATTGAGACATTACGTGCTGAAGTTTCTACAAAAGTAAATGCTTGTTCAAATTATATAACTCGAATACGAAATTTAGCTCAACCATTACCAAGAACATCGAAATTTGTTGAATCATGTAATGAAGCAATAGATTATTTTCGTCGAACACAAGAATTTGAAGATAATTTTAAAAAATTATATACTGTTTTAGAACAAAGTGATTTAAATAATATTATTCAAAATACTCAACAATGGTGGAAAGATACGTATGGATCTACTATAGCTGAACTTAATCGTCTTAATCAAAAAATAAATTCAGCTATTACAGAAAATAATTTTGCTATTC